AACAAGGAGAAAACCAATCAGATAACGGTACCAGAACCGACCTTCCCACGCTAATACAGGAACAAGACCGGAGCTCGTGTAGAGAGCTTTATTCACGTTAGGAGTGAGTTGTCAAAAGTGAAACTAATCCAAGTCAGGGTCGACCTTGACCTGACAAAAAGCGCAATAAAACACATGTCAGGAAATTAGTGTAAATAGAGCCAAAAGTCAACGATGAGCAATCTTGGGGTATCGTGGATCCCCAACAGCAGGTTAACACAGTTAGTCATTTTCTGGGTTACTGCTTTAAGGAGTACCAATGCGAAGTTAATGGTTTGAGCATACTTAAATATGCTACTTAATATCCAAAAACCGGCCAATTATTTTGCAAATCTTGTCGAATTATTTTCGCTTTTTTCTCAAACTACGTCTAAGTGTGTCGACATCCAATTAAATTAAAGCTTTGAGGAGCAGACTTCACCAATTAGGCGAGGGCTACAGGTGACTCAGACGTCGGAAATGTAAGTCATCAACCTTAAGTAGCACGATTAAACATGTTTAAGAAGTAATGATTATGAGAACACGAATTTCAAATTCACAACACTCGAACACTGTTTTTGACCTCATTTGTATGCTAATTATTCTGTTCGCCCATTTAATCTGTTGCCATAACGACGGACATTAATTAATCCATAATTTTGTCATAATTCCTGTCAATTGTGCCACCTTAATTGAAACAAACATGGAATAATAATAATAATAATCGAAAAATGGAAATTCATGTGAATCATCAAATCTCTTACGTCTTCTTACACATTTTAAAATTCTGTATTGGTGCGACTATTTGTTGAAGTTCATATCAGGAGAAGGTGTCTTCATTTGCAAAATCTACATTGTAATTGGTTGAATTAACTAAAAATTCCACGACTTGAACTCATATCGGCTACACGTGGAATGTGCGACTTTGCAGAAATCGACCGATTTACAGAACAATGACCAAACAGTGAGCGAAGTAATGCAATAGCATGTCGGAAATCACCACAGACGTCGAAAGCTAATCAAACATTCGTGTAAATTTGACTTGTATTGGAAAAGGTGACGTTAATTTGTGGCTTCGCAAACAGAATGTGTAGAGGACCCCAGCATGTTATCAGCGTTGAATCGAGCCCGATTACGCTACCAGATTACCCACGAAGAAGACCGGAGATGGCAGACACGACCGTTTACCAGACAGCTCAATGAAGTTGTGTTGGCAAGAGCGGGTAATGGTGGTGGTGGTGGTGGTGGCGGCGGTGGTGGTGGTGGTGGTGAGCAGGCTGTCCCGGTGACTGACGGACACCCCGCGAAAAGGAGGACGTGTGTGTGAGGCTGCGGCGACCGGGTTTTTAAACGCGAATCAACACGATTCACTACAGATCCAATCACGCGGTTTCAAATAAAACTGTTGTGTACTTAACGTTTCTCGAAGTACAGAACCTTTTGGTGATTGGACTAATTAGGCATAATTGCATAATTGGCGATTCCCACGTAAATGTTGATGAATTAGCGCGGATAATGTTCTGCACTGAACACTTCATCAAAGGACTTCGTGAATTTAAACTTAAAATGTGCCCAACTACTTAAAAGTCAATTTCGGTAGCAATTCAACCTAGATTAATGCAGAAACTGTGAAAATACCACCGGAAAAACAAGTGGTGTAATGACTTAATGTTATGAAATGGCCATACCACCTAATCCCTGTCATTATTTAGTTGTTAAATGTTCGATGTCCGTGAAGTAACGTAGAAATGACAACCCGAGAACGTTTGTTAGGTCTTGATCTCCGTGCCTTCGTGGATTGTCCCTCGTCTTTCGACTGTCTGCTTCTGGACCAATCGCAGCCGTCGACGTCGGGCTAGACCGCGACGAAGCACACCTGCCATTACCCCCAATTCCCTTTCAGAGGAGACTGAGGTGGTCCCTCCGGATCTAGAGGAGGCGATAGCGGCTACGGACGGTAGGACTTCCGCACCGGAAGTCGACGTCGCTAACTGTCGGAAGCTGTCTGCAGCTGGAAGCGACGATGACGATGATGACGATGATATCGATGATGAAGACGGGGAAGCTGAGGAGCCGGAGGAGTTGAGACAGGGTCAACTGCTCTGGATTAGAGGACTTTCTCGACTTCAGACACAGGTGAGCCCGCTTCTTCTTGGTATCGTTTTAGTGAGCAAAATACTACTGACATTTAAGTGAGTAGAGATCGACAATTTCTGCACAGAAGGAACTGGACTCAAGGCGACCTGCCAATTTAATAGACAGTAGGAGCAGATCAAGTGGTTATTCGTAGTTGGAAAGACTCGATTTACGGTCATATGGAGTCAAACTGACAAACGAGGCTATTTGTTGGTCAAATAGCTCCAACCAATCAATTACAGCCATCCGAAAAGATATCTAGGCTCTGTTGTGTTTATTTGTAGTTGATAGGACTTGATTCCGGTTATTTATAGTCAAACCAACCAGCCATCAACAGTACCGCGCCTGAGACCATTCCGTAAGCAGGGTTATTAGTAGGTCAGGTCACTCCAATCCAAATTTACTGTTCACTAAGGGCGCGCCTATCAGTTTGCGTCCTTGTAAAGAATTTCAGCATGCTCCAATTGGACAGACACAGCGAATTTCGTGAATCTCTGCTTGGATGTAACCGTCGACGCTTGTACAGCCTCGGCTGCATGAATTCCAATCTCAACCTCGCGAGGAACGCGCTTCTGCTGAAGAAGCATGTTAGCCATCCCGCGGCACTCAACAGCGGCATCTGTCGAGGCCACAAAAGTAGTTGGAGCTCTCTCAAGGACGTATAACGCCATATTGATGACGATGATGATGACTTTGACTAACACTGACTCTTGCCTAATTTGGACCTCAGCCTCTGAATGTATTTAGCCACGCCTTTTGGCGTTTCTCGTAGCCCGCGTGAGTCCACTTTGTACTGTCCTGTGTGCATGTGAGAACGAGGCAACTGTGCGAAAAACGTGTTTATTTTTTCCGAAAAAAATTGTTGTAACATGGTGCTGTGGATAGCTATGGGGCTAAAAGGTGGTAATTAAAGAACAATCCAAAAAAATTGACTGAAAATATAAATTTCTGTCATTTGAACTTCAGAGGGATTGCATGTTTGAATCTAGTGGTAGACCAGTTGAAGCTAGGTTAAGTTATAAATAAGTCTTACTCACTATTATTAGTAGAAATGTGATTACATCCGCTACTGCACGTTCAGTTCTTTCATTGAGTAGGATCAAATGGATTGGAAAAGGATGTTTTAGCGGATCCTGGACACACCTTCCGCTTCCTCTGATAACGTAATGCGTGTGTTTTTCATCTTATTATCTTGGAGTAAATTCTAGTCACTTATAAACTAGTAATGTAACAAACGCATCATGACAATTTTTTCCGATTCCTAATACCTACTAAATTTACTCGAAACGTCTGGTTGACAAGTTTTAACAAAAGTAACTCTTTCCAGTTGTGAAAGGCACTTTGTGTGAGAACTTTAAATATGCGAGGCAATCTTAGCGTGTGAGGACGCACATCACTTGTCATCTCGTCAAAGTCACGCTACATTTGTCACTAGGATACCGGTTTTGTTGTAAGCCGTTGTCGCGTTCACAAAACACCTATTTCTCCAAATGGTGTAAGACAACAACGCCTACTTTGCTTAAATTATATTCAAACATGATTGGTTCGTTCTAACCTATTCCAAGCGTTGCATTCTACTGAATTGTATCTATGGAAAATGTGCGAGGACAGGGGCCTACATTTTAATAAATTCGCTCAGCACTAAACTAGAGAAAGCGCTTTGGAGAATCACAGTGCAGGCAGGCCGTTAAAAGAACACACAGTTCATTACTACAGCAAGCTATAAACACAATGAAAGTAGGTAGTCAGTAAATTTCACTGAACACTGTGGGCTAACGGACAGGGCTTGGCACCTTCAAGCTAAAGTGGCAGTTATTTAGACGTGGGTAGAAAGTTTGCGTAAAAGTCCGATCGTTGGTTAGACGTATTGCCGAAAATGCATAAGCATGTTGTGAATCGTGTTGATTGGCACGTGTTAATTCGGTCGCTCCAGCCTCCGACACTCCCCCCTCATTCAGACGAATATTTAACTTGGATTATCCTCACACCTGGGTCTCGATGTTAGCGCACCTGAGGTATAAATACACACGCGCGAACCCCACACACGACACGACGAGACCAACGTGGTTGAGCTCTGAAGTAAGCAGTTGTGTCCACATCCTCTCTCGTGTCTTTTTCTTCATCGTGGGTATCAGGGAAGTGTAATCGGGCCAGGGTTAATTCCGTGGCCTCGGCCTGGTTCAAGACTACATGCTGGGGTCCACAACAAGCAAAAAGCCACACAAGACACAATGAGAAGAGGGCATCGTCCGAGTTGAATGGGGGTCAACGCGTACACTAATTCGTCAACAACCAGGATTGGCTTGGATCAGGTTGATAGGTATGAGCAACAACGATGCCAGGACACAGATGTAAGTGAGACGTTTGGCTCTAGTCGAATTTGGGGTTCGCTAGGTGTTATTAAGCTCCCCAGACCGACATTTGGAGTCAACAGACCGGTGGAAAAATTTGAAGACATCTTCGATGATTGACATTTGAACCCGGTATGGGGTGTTTATTTTTAATGGGGTCAAAAAATACACCGTTACCTGTTACCGTCTCACAACCAACACTCTCGAGAGAACAAACGCACGTGAGTGATGCTTGTTCACAGGTTAATGTGGTGTCGACTACACCATTATTTTTCATTGGCTACCGTAGGCAACCAGGCTCACGTTAACTGACAGGGTTGTGAGGTAGAGCAAGCAAACCACCATATGTCAATCGGCTAGGAGATATCAAACTACCCAAACCGTCCAATAAGGTTGCTTTTACCAGGCACTCCGGGTTCACAGTCCAGTGACAAACTTGGAGACATCCATAACAGTTGAGATTTGCGCGTTCACAAAAATTGCATAATCACTATTGCGCTGTTGTTGATTGCCTTTGAGCCGTGGGCATGTGCTATGGGTCGCAGGATACCGTGAAAGTAGGCCATTTCTAAGTTGCCTACACGGATGACCCCGACATAGCTTCCGCTGTGGTCTACCTTTGAGATACCTGTCCGCTTCGTCGATCGGGTTCGATAATTTCCGAGTGTTTACTGGGTCTCACAGTGAACACCTTTGGAGGGGGGGATATTTATAGCGAACAGTCAGTTAAGCTTGTTCACAGGTTGATCTAGTGCTGATGACTCACCGTAGATCTCCATTGGCCACTGCCGGAAATTAATAATAAACGGTTCGATTCACTATCGCCAGTCATGACTCTGTTCTCGGGTTGTTAGGGTCTGTGAACATACAGTTTTACGACAAATCACAGGACCGGGTGGTGGCAAACGACCCAGGTCGTCCACTGGGACTGCTTTTACTGGTCATTCTGAGTTAACAGACCAGTGACAAACTTGAAACCATCCAGAATAGTTAATGAGTTATGGATTTTATGCTCGAGTTAGTAGCCAGTCGCCATTATGGTTAGAAACAATGAGGATAAATACATGCAGATGGCCAGGGGACCATGTCTGACTCCCCTGATGCCCCGTGTCGTCACTTGATCTGGATGTGCGACATTTGATTACCACTGAGGGACTTGGGATTAAACCAAAACGTGCTAAGTACAGCAGCCTGTGAAAATTAAGTAAGCATCTGCTGAACGCTTCGCCTTCTCCATCCTCCTGGGCTCGATGATACCTCGTGTGGCTTGACAAGAGCTTCAGAAAATGGCATCCGGGGAGACTTCTCCACAGCTGAGACAGCTTAATGATCATAAAACACATCACAGGTAATTCCAAAAAGCAAATCGCGCCCAGAAAAGCATAGATCGTTACCACCGCCCCCGTGGCACTGAGTCACCTTTCGCACAGGCAAATCATCGACAGAGATGACGAGGGTGAGTCAACATGTCTCACTACAAGCACGTTGGCGTTCTGAGATGACACTGTTGTGGGCCCCAGAATGTGGTCTTGAACCACGCCGAGGCCACGGAATTAACTCTGGCCCGATTACGTTTCCCTGATACCCGCGATGTAGAAAAAAGAACGGCGAGGACGTGAACACAGGCGTTTACTTCCGAGCTCAACTACGTTGGTGTGTCGTTGTGTCCTGTGTGGGGTTTGCGTGTGTGTATTTATGCCTCGGATGTGTAAGTCATATATCTGAGATAGGTTTGAGACCTAGATGTGAGGATAATCCAAGGTAAATATCAGTGTGAATGAGGGGTGGGGAGTTGAGGATCCGCGTGGCTGGCGACATGCCGTGAAAAAGGGGAACCCTGTGTCGGAGGTGGAGCGACCGGATTAAGGGGTGTGAATAAACACGATTCACAACACGTTCAAACTAGCATGCTCTCGGACATCCAAAGAA